TTTTGGTCAAATTTGGCATCCAAAAGTTTTTCACAAACACACAATGGTCCGAAGTGGTTTTAAAAAAACATTATTCATCATGAAAGAATCAAATTTTTTGTACCATTGTCGCAGCGTTTGCTTGAGACCATATTTATTTTTCTTCAATTTGCAAACAAATTTATCTTTCTTTTTCTCTACAAAACCCTCCAGTTGCTTCATGTAAATTTCTTCTTCAAGGTCACCATGAAGAAATGCATTCTTCACATCAAGTTGCTTAACTTCAAGGTTCATACTTACGACCATGCCAAGTACAACCCGAATAGAAGACATTTTCCTAACCAACAAAAAAATCTCATTAAAGTCAACATCTTTCCTTTGCCCATGAAACTTATAAAAGCTCACAAGCATCACCTTGGAGGAGGTAATTGAACACAATCTTTTTGAGAACTTAGAGCTTTGTCTATTTGTCAAGTTTTCTGACTTAGGCATCGGAGAGGTTTCCGGCACACACCCGCCGGCTAGCTCACGTTTGTGTTTTCAGGTGACAAAGCGACGTCGTACGGAGGAGCGTGGATTTGGTCAACAGGATTATACGAGGAGAATTATTTCCTCCCCGTACAAACAACAACATTTTAGAAATAATGAATTGCTATCGTTCAATATGTACATATATTTTTACATAAATTTTTGAAAAAATAGAATTTTTGTAGAGAGTTTGATTATAATTTGTTCATAATTTTGGAATGAAAATTTGAAAAGAGTTTAGAAATATTTACAATTTGTAATCAAGTTGTGCAAATAATTTAATTATGAAATTTGAAAATATTTTTAAAAAAATGTTAACAACATTGTTTCATAAATTACAACATCACATTTTCGTCAATCAACTTGTAAATTTTTTTTTATTTATGAGTATTTTTTCCGAATTACAGGTCAAGTCCAATTTTTACATTTTATTTTTATATATTGTTATGTATTTTTCAGTTAACTCCAATTGGTGAGTCGACTGCAATTTGTCAACAACCCCATCTGCCGCATTACTTCATCTGACACCAGGTTAGGTTGAGAGGGCAAATATGTCAATTTACTCACTTTTTATTATATATATTATGTTTTTTTACATCTTTTTAAAAAATATTAAATTTTTTTCTTAAATATACTAAATTTTTTACATTATATTTTAATTAAAAAATTAAAGAATTATTAAAATAATATATTCTTAAAGGAGATCTAAGTATAACTCAGGATGCTTATGTAATTCACCCTAGTTTTTTTGAGTTCTTTTGGCAAGTGGATTTGGCTTTTTAATTTTTTTTAACCTGTGATTAAAAGTCTCATTTGAAAAAAAATTTGTTTTGACTTTTTTGACTTTTTATAAGAAAAACAATGTAATAATTATGAGTTGAATATGATATTTTATTTTATTAAATTAAAAAACATGTACGGTGTTTTAAAAAATTAATAAAAAATTGACTTTTTAACTTTTTTGATGAGTTTTTTTGATGACTTTCTCGTGGCTTTTTTTTAGAAGAACTTAATAAAAGGTCAAAAAAAACCGACTTTCTACTAAGTTCCCAAATTACTCCTTTATCTTTTTTATGATTAAAATAGTCCCAAACCCAACCAACCCAACCCAACCCTTCTTTCAAACGAAGCATTTGTTGTCCAGTATCAGAAAAGGTGTAGTCTTGGTTCCTTCTGTTCTCTGGAAGTCAAGAAGGTGTCTTCTTCACTTGTTTTAGAGAGAGAGAAAGAGATGTGGGCCGCAGGGATGATAGCAGTGATGGTGGGAATACAGTGTATGGAAGCAGGTTCAAACACTTTAAGCAAAGCAGCCATGACAAATGGAATGAGTGACTATGTATTTGTTGTCTATTCAAACTCGGAAAATGAGTGAGAGCACTAATTAGTGCTATCACTAATGATGTGGCAGTGGGTCCCACCAGGAATGATTTGATGTTTTGGTCTTGGTGTTGTATTTTTTTTCTTTTTTTATTGAGTGTCATGTCATTAGTGGTCTTTTAGAGCTCCAAAATTAGTGGTCTCTATCATTGTTGATTCAAACTCCCTTGCTTTGCTCTTCATTCTTCCTTCTACTCTCATCTACCACAGGTCTCTCTCTCTCTCTCATGTTCATCACTTCGAGCAAGGATTCTCTAGAGTTTTTTCTTCCTAAAGTTTCCTAAAGTAGTATATTGTGTGGTTGAGATTTAATGATAAGTCACATCAATTTTTTAACATTAAATCTCAACCACACAATATACCACTTTAAAAAAAAAACACTCTAGAGGATCCTTGGTGCATCACTTCTATCTCTTCAATAATCCCACCCCTCCCCCCCCTCTTTTTTGATTGATTAATTTGCAGGAAAAGACCATGCCCAAAACTTACTTTCTTGATTGTTTGTAGAATCTTCATCCTAGGCCTCCTCAGGTGTGAAATTGCCCCCATCTAAATTTGGTTTTCTTTGGAGTAAAGTATTTTAGTAATTTCACACTTATAATCTGTAATTCTAGTTATATGTATAATTTATGTAATTGAGAGGCACAACTATCCGTATATATGGTTTCTAATGCAACTCATTTTGATCATAGTAAAGGTATGTTACGTAATTGAGGAAAGTGACTATCCTGTATCTGATTTATAACTCAACTTGATCTTAATAAAATTACTCGAATAACGTCTATAAATCTTGTATTATTTTATGTATTAGTGATTTGTTGTTAATTATGAGTTTATTTATTTATTTATTAATTTTTGGGTGTGTGTGTGTGGAAATCAGTTGTACTTTGCAGATTTTAATGTAGTATATTGGAATAGGGTATAGCTCTCCAACTATGGCCTCAGCAATGAATAGCCTCATCCCAGCCTTTACCTTCATACTTGCACTTGTGACTAGGTACTGTTCCTATTCCTGCTTTTTCTTTTTCCTTTTTTCAATCAGTCATTTTCTCCAATCAATTACCAAACGCCATGTGTCAATTAAGGCCTGTCCTTTCTCTTTGTTTGATAGTGCTTGTGCTTTTTTGTGAGGCCTGTTTTTCATGTTCGTATTTCAATAATTTATTATTATTCTAATAGTTTTCAACTATGGTTCCCTTGTTTGAGATGGTGGCAACAACCTATTAGGCATTATCCAATAAAACGTCTATTTGTTTGGACGGATTGGATAAAAGGAATTATAATTTATTGGACGGTTAATTTTGAGATAATATTAGATAAAAGAGGATTATAATCTATCAGATTATTAGTCCTGTGATGCATTGTTCTTAGAGCATCTCCAATGCACTAGGCATATAATACTTGATAGTTAAAATGCCTAGTGTGATTCACTTTTTTCAATTTCAATGCACTAGGCATATGATTAGGCATTTTGCCTCAACTCATATTCACTAGCTACATGTAGCTAGCCTTCAATACTAGGCAAAATGTATTCAATCACTACGATCATTTCCCTCCATCTTTGTTGTTGACGTGGCATTCTATAAAATTAATAATGTTTGGATAAATAGCTAAAATAAAGCGCATGATTGGAGTAAAAACATAAAACAGTCGATAGGCAAAATAAAATATATACTTTATAGTAATATTTAGATAGGTAAAATGCCTATTACCGTTGGAGATGCTCTAAGATTATTTGGGTAGATTGAATTTGTATTTTATGTTTGTTTAGTCATGGATTAGATGTCTGGATTGAATTATTTTTAGTGAATTTAATGTTTGGTTGGATAGACTAGATAATGATAAATGTTCAAAAGACTATTTTACCTTTGTAATTTATAATTTTTATTTAATATATAATTTTAAATTTGTAATCTATAATTCATAATTTATAATTTAACAACACTAAAAAAATTTAATTTATAAGGCCATAATTTTTAATCTATTATTTTTAATTAAATTAAATTTATAATTATATTTTTTATTTAATATATCATTTTAAATTAATGACAATAAAAAATAATTTTATTTAATATATAAATTAAATTTTCAGCAACACTAAAAAAATTTAATTTATAAGGCCATAATTTATAATTTATTATTTTTAAATAAATTTAATTTATAATTTATATTTTTTATTTAATATATAATTTTAAATTAACAACACTAAAAAAATAATTTAATTTAATATGTAAATTTAATTTTTTAACAACACTAAAAAAATTTAATTTATAGGGCCATAATTTATAATTTATTATTTTTAAATAAATTTAATTTATAATTTATATTTTTTATTTAATATATAATTTTAAATTAACAACACTAAAAAAATAATTTATTTAATATATAAATTAAATTTTCAACAACACTAAAAAAATTTTAATTTATAAGACCATAATTTTTAATTAATTATTTTCAATTAAATTAAACTTATAATTTATATTTTTTATTTAATATATAATTTTAAATTAACAAAACTAAAAAAATAATTTTATTTAATACGTAAATTTAATTTTTTAACAACACTAAAAAAATAATTTAATTTAATATGTAAATTTAATTTTTTAACAACACTAAAAAAATAATTTATAAATGTTCAAAAGACTATTTTACCCCTTTTCAATTATTTATTATGTAATAGCATGAGGGTAAAATGAACATTTTACACATTAGTCCTATGGGATACCAGTCCCATGAAAATAATCCCATCTCCCCCCTCGGATACAATAATCCCTCATATGAGGAACTAATAGTCCGGAGGGACTATTAATCCGGAGTAAAAAAATTGAACCAAACAATAGATTATTAGTTCCCATAGAATAATTCCTCAAAACAAACACACTCTTTATATATAATTCTGTAACAGTAGTTGAGTTTTGAATCTTTAACTTCTCCTTAGCTCCCACATATTATTATGGGATAATTACACCCTAGTGGACTTTTGGAAAAAAAAAGTTACATATTAATGAAAAAATTCATAATTTTAAGATTAATATTTATAATTTTTTTTTTACTGATTTGTAGTTATTTTTTCAAAATTTCACTGATTTGATATTTCGCTTATTATTATTATGCTCGAAACACTTATTCATTTAATATTAATTGAAATATGGTGGTTGTTTAAACATAATATATGGAAATAGTAATATTTATGGTTTATGTTATGAACATGTAAGTGAAAATCTAGTTTGGGACAAATCGAAAGGGAATAATTGACGGACATTACCAAAGTTTCACACAATAGACTAAAAGTTAAATTTTTTGGTTGAGTTCTATGTCTTGAAGGGTCGAAGTACTTTTTTTTGGAGACAATAAATAAAGAAAATTTAAAAGGAAGATGCGGTTGAATGTTCTTTATTCTTCGAAATCCCAACTTTTATACTGCTTGGCCACTATCCATTACAGCCACATGTGTCAACTTTTTACTTGCTCCATGCTTTCTTTGATTTCAGTTCCACTCAACAATAATCCCTTGACGCTAGGAACTGCTTCACAAGTCAGGTGCTCTTGACTTTATTTGAACCTCAATTCCGGCATGTATTTGTTAGCTCGGTTGTGGTTTAGCCAGTTACCGGCGGACTCCGTCTCCACCTTTCAACACCTCAGTGACTCCTTCCTGAGCCACTTTATTGGAGCCCAGCGTCAGAGACGCCCAGCCACCCAACTCCTTAACATTCGTCAGACTGAGGGGGAGTCGCTCCGCAGCTTCGTCACCCGCTTCAACACCGAGGCCCTTCAAGTAGCGGAGAATGACGACAAGGTTATCCTCAGGGCTTTCATGGCCGGCCTGCGGTCGTCTGATTTTCTTTTTTCCCTCTCCAAAAACCCTCCAACCACCATGGCAGCCTTACTATCCAAAGGCCAGAAGTACATGAATGCTGAAGATTCCCTGGCCGCTCGGCAAGAGCCGACCCCTAAAAATCCGACCCCCAGAGACAAGAGGAAAGACTCCGAGCCCAGAACCGCCCAGTATAATAGCCAAACACCCCACTATAATGACCGACCCCCCCGTGCCGACCGGACGACTCCGACCAGACCGCCCGGTCGGTTTGAGCGATACACACCTCTCAACTCCCCTATGGAGCACGTCCTCAATCAGATCCAACGGGACTACCCCCTCAAGTGGCCCCTACCTTCCCGAAACCCTTCCACTCGAAAAGATCAGTCCAAATACTGCCGTTTCCACCAAGACCATGGTCATACCACCGACGAGTGTATTAACCTCAAAGATCAGATTGAGACCTTCATACGCCAGGGCCGCCTCAGCCGATTCACAGATAACCGCCCTCCACAGAGACAAAGAACCGACCTCACCAAGAACAATCACCGACAAACACCACCCCGCAACCAAGGCCCACCTAACCAAGGCCACGATCGCCCACCACCACAGCCTCGGCCTCCTGGTAATCCCCCCCCCAGTCAGAGAAATCCGAGTTATCTCAGGCGGCCTTGCTTGCGGGGGGACCATCCCGCTCGGCTCAGAAGGCAGAACTCAGAAAAATCAAGCAGGGCTCAGACAAAGCGGTGGCGACGGTGGACCGACCTCCCAAACAGTCAAAACAATGGATCGAACCATCACCTTCACTGACACCGACTATGCAGGAGTCCGTTACCCACATGATGACCCCCTTGTCATTTCCGCCATCCTCTCCAACTACAAAGTCAGACGAGTCCTCGTAGACAACGGCAGCTCTTCAGACATTATCTTCCTCAATTGCTTCCGCCAGCTCAAGATTGGCGAAGAGAGCTTGTCTCCTCTCCAAACCCCTCTGGTCGGCTTCACCGGCGACCGCGTTACCTCCATCGGCTCCATCGATCTACCTATCACCATTGGCGAGCACCCGCGGCAGACCACTAAGTTGCTCACCTTCCTTGTGGTCGACTGCCCCTCTGCTTACAACATCATCCTCGGCCGCACAGCCCTCAACGCCTTCCAAGCCATCACATCTACATATCATCTTGCCATCAAATTCCCTACCGATCTCGGTGTCGGCACTGTCAAAGGAGAGCAGACCGTGGCCAGGGAGTGTTATGTCGCCTCACTCAAGGAAGTCAGGCTAAAAGAGGCCATGATTATCGAAGGGCTTGACGTCCAAGATGAGGACGAGCTGGTCAGAGGTGAACCTGTAGAGGAACTTATTGAAGTTAACATTGATCCCACCAACCCAATCAGAACCGCCAAGATTGGCAGCCAATTAACCTGCCCAAGCCAAGGCCGACCTTACTGCTCTCCTGACCGAACACAGAGATGTATTCGCCTGGACCCATTCTGACATGCCAGGCATCGACCCCTCCTTCATAACCCATCGCCTCAGCATCGAACCCCACTTTCGACCCCACCGCCAGAAGCAACGCATTTTCCATCCGGAGCGCAACACCCTTATAGCCGCCGAAGTTGACAAACTCCTCGAGGCCCAATTCATCAAAAATGTGGACTATCCTAGGTGGTTGTCCAATGTGGTCCTCGTCCGCAAACACAATGGCAAATGGCGGCTCTGTGTCGACTACTCTGACCTGAACCAAGCTTGTCCCAAAGACAGCTACCCCCTTCCCCGCATAGATCTGCTGGTCGACGCCACGGCCGGTCATCAAATGCTCAGCTTCATGGATGCCTTCTCAGGGTACAACCAAATCCTGATGCACACATATGACCAGGAGCACACATCCTTTATTACCGACCGAGGTGCCTACCACTACTGTGTAATGCCGTTCGGATTGAAGAATGCTGGGGCCACTTATCAGCGGCTGGTTAACGCCGTCTTCCATCACCAAATAGGTCGGAATATGGAAGTCTACGTCGACGATATGCTAGTCAAAAGCAAATACTCCTCCGATCACCTTACTGATTTACGTGAGACCTTTGCCACCTTGCGCAAGTACCAGATGAAGCTTAACCCAGAAAAGTGCGCCTTTGGCGTAGGGTCTGGCAAATTTTTGGGCTTTATGGTCAGTCAGCGCGGCATCGAAGCTAACCCTGAGAAGATCAAGGCTTTGGTTGAGATGCAGTCGCCTAGGACGGTCAAAGAGGTTCAGAGACTCACCGGCCGAGTGGCGGCCCTCAACCGCTTTATCTCCCGTGCGACAGATAAGTGCTTGCCCTTC